CACACCTCTCTCCTGTTTTTGGTGTGGGGCAGTGGATTTGAGCCAGAGAAAGCGATGATGAGCTCTGCTACCCAGGAGGGCCGGTAGGGGCCACTCCTGCCCCTCTTTGCCCCCATCCCTGGCCCAGGAGATGCCACTGGTGTCCCTCAGTGCTTGTTCCCCCAAACCACCCACCAGGCAGCCAGGCCGCTCCTGGCTCTCCCAAACTACACGGGGCAGCTCTGCTGCTTTTCCCTGCTCCGCTGCTCATTAGCGGCTTCCGCCCCTCGGCAATTCCGAGCTGCCATTCCAGTGATGTGCTGCCAAGGTTTTCAAAAGGGGGCTCCCACAAACCTGCCTCCTCCTCCTCCTCCAGCTGCCACCAGCCCTGCTCGGCCTGTGGAGGAGTGCAGGGCTGGGGGAAATGCGCCTTTGCTGTTTAAAGCTTTTTTTAATGTTGGTTTAAAGCTGTTTTTATATTTGTTTTAACTTTCTGGTGAGGGAGGGACGCAGCACCTTGGGGCCAACATTCCTGGCTGCCCAAATATTGCTGCAGGGAGGCAGAACCTAACAGAGAACATCTGAGCATCCCAGCAGAAAAATGCTTCACTTGTCAGCATTCCCTTCTCCTCCCTGTGGTGAGCACAGGCCCACAAGTTTGATTTTAGCTGAATTTGATTTTTTTAGTTTGATTTGACCTGAAATGTTGAAGAATTGGCTCCTTCTAGGTGTTTTGGAAAACTTTCCCAAAGTTTTTCCATGGGAAGTTGTTGAGCCCACAGGTAGAAGCCATTGAATTCCTCTGCTGGGTGAGCATCCCTCTCTTCTTCTCAAGGGGTTCTTTCCGTTCAAGGCCAGGTTGGACAGGGCTTGGAGCAACCTGAGATAGTGGAAACTGTCACTACTCATGGCAGGGGGTGAAATGAGATGGACTTAATGGTCCCTTCCAACCCAAACCATTCTGGGATTCTATGGACACCAATAACCCTTTCTGCAGCAGTGTGAGGGGGGAAAAAATATTTAAAGCAAAATTACGGAGCCATTCCTGGCAATATGTGAGAGGAGCACTCACAACTGGAGCTCTCTAACCTCGTGGCCGTGCTCCATCCTGCTCCAATGGCTGGGAGCAGACCCAGGCAGGAAGGACCAGGGCTCTTCCCTTGGCTTCTTCATGTGGCATCACCTCTTTATGATCCTCCCTGGACAGTGAGGTGTCAGCAAACCAATGCACAAGAGGGTCTGGAGAGGGAGAAACAGCCCCAGAGAGAGGAGGCAAAGCCCCAGTCTCCATTTCCTCATGCCGCACACCCATCAAACTGCTCCTGATAACAAACTGGGGAGCTGCAGGACACAGGGAGGATGTTTCACCCCCAGCCAGCCATGGGCAGATAAATCCCCCAAGCTCTGCAAAGGCTGGGCTGACTCAGAGAGAGGCTTCTCCCCGGGGCTCAGGACTGAGCCTCTGCCAGGGATGTGTTTTGAAATGGTTTCCCAGCTGTAAGATGCACATAATTGTGGCTTTGCCTTCATCTGGGAGACTTCAAGAGCGGATGGTTGATAAGGATGGAGCAGCAGAGGCAGCACAGCCCGAGCCAGGGGATCTGGTTTCAGTCTGTCCCTACCCGCAGCACTCGATCTGATTTTGGCCCTCTCTCCGCCCCCTCGCACGGACACAATTATCAGAATTCCTTTCCCTGCTGCTTCCTCCCCTCTGAAGCCTTGCAGCCTGCTCCTGCTGTCTTTTCCAGGGCTCCCTCCTTTCCTGCCTCAAGGGATTTCTGCTGGGTTTACCCTTTCCTGGTAACACCCCAAAAATCAAGGGATTTCTTCTGGGTTTAGGCTTTTCTGGTGGGAAACATCCCAAAAAAAATCAAGGGAATTCTGCTGTTTTAAGGTGCCTCTTTTTTTGTAAATTGAAACATGCTTATATTTAAATTAAACAAGCTTAAATTTAAATGAATTTGAGCATTTTAAACTTAAGCAAGGCCAGATTGGATGAGGTTCCGAGCAACCTGGTCTGATGGAAGGTGTCCCTGCCCATGGAATGGGATGAGCTTTAAGGTCCCTTCCAGCCCAAACCACCCTCTGGAGTGGCTGCCATCGATTCTGGCTCCAGGGACAGCTGAGAACTCTGAGAACTTCATGAAATAATTTGGGAACATCCCTTCAGCAGTGATCCTCCCAGTCATGGGGATGCCATCAGCAATTTTGGCTGTTGCCCACTTTCCCCATACCCTGAAACAGCTGGGCCGTATTTTTTATTTGCCCACAAGACAAAAACAATGGCAACAAAGGAATCAAGGCCAAGTATCCAAACCTGACCGTGGATCTTTTGATTGCTCTGTGCCACGGGGCTTTTTAGGGTAGTTATTCCCAAAACAGCTAGGAATGATGGCTCCTGAGCTCAGGAATGGGATTTGAGTGATTTCCTAAAGCAGGAGCATCACATTTTGGGCTGTAACCCAGCATTGCTTGAAGCTACTGGTGGGGCTATTCCAGAATAATTTTTACACTAGAAGGAGGAGAGATTCAAGTGAGGAATAAAATTCCTCACTCGGAATGTGTTGAGGCCCTGGCACAGGGTGCCCAGAGGAGCTGTGGCTGCCTCTGGATCCCTGGAAGTGTTTAAGGAAGGGCTTGGAGCAACATGGAATAGTGGAAGGCATCTCTGACCATGGCAGGCATGGAACAGGATAGACTTTACAATCCCTCCCAACCCAAACCATTCTGGGGTTCTATGAATGCCACATTTTCCTCACCTTGACGTGTTTGCTCTGTCCCATCTTGTTCAGGCCTTACCTCTGAGAAGAACCAACCCCACATGGGATTTCTCCTTCCCCATTCACCCTAAAACATGCCTGGGATGTAGGGCAAGAAAACAAAAAGGACCTGGGGGCAGAGACTTTTTTCTACACCCTCAACTTTAAAAGAAATTGCAAAAGCTACCATAAAAAAAAAACAACAACAACAACCAAAACCAAAACAAAATAGCAAAACCCACCAAAACCAAAAAACCCAAACAAACTCCAGCAATCTTCCTGCATTTCACATTTCATTTGCACTCTTGGCCATGCCACGGAAATGATTTCAATCCTTTTGTAACCAAACCCACCCCAATTCTGTATAAGCAAAGGCCTGGGGGACCTGTTGGGAAATTTCCTGCAGCCAGGGCCATGCTCCTGCTGCCACCTTCCATCAGGCCAGCAGCTCCCTGCTCCTGTGACATCCATGCTGGGCTGGGAAATGCTTCAAAACCAGGGAAAAATGGATCAGCAAAGGCCTCAGACAGAGGAAGCTGTGCTGAGGCAGAGCATCACAGCTGGGCTCTGTGTTAGGATAAGAGAAATGCTTGGAAATCCCCAAGAAATCCCAGGAGAAAGCAGTTCCCATCCCTGGGAGTGTGCGAGGCCAGCTTGGACGGCTCACAGAGGTTTTTGGGGCATTTTCCCTCTTCCTCAGCCCTTCCTTCCCCCTGCAATAGCCAAACAGGGCCAGGCTGCTGACATGAGGATCACAAGGCAGATTCAGAGTGTGATTTCAGAGTGTGATTTCAGGGTGTGATTTCAGAGTGTGATTGCAGAGTCTGATTTCAGAGTCTGATTTCAGAGCAGCATTTCACAGAATCACAGCACGGTTTGGGTCGAAAGGCTCCTCAAAAAAAGCCAATACAGTTCCAGAGAACCAGCACGAGGTGCAATGTGGCAGAGCCATCCCAGAGCTCTGGAAAATCAGCAGGGCAGGCCATCACCATCCCCTCACCATAACAGGGAGGAAAATCAGCCCCTCAGCACCGAAGTGCTGTGGAATTCCCAGTTTTCTCCAGCTGGAGGTGGAAACCAGAAAGAACCAGTGGGAAGGAGCGGCCTCAGGGCAGCAGCAGCCAGAGCAGGGGGTCCCAGCCAGGGTTAAAGACGTCAGCTCTGCCCCGGGAGCAGCTTTGTGCTGAGCTCTCTGCTCTTGGGTGGGATCTAAAAAAATCCCTGGAACTAGACCAGCTTTTTATCTGGTTTTACCTCGGTTTTGTGTCAGCCATATTCAGAGAGGAGCAGGGCACAGCAAAACCTCATGTGACCATCCTCCACCCCTTCCTTCTGCTGGCTGGAAAAAATAATAAGTTAAAAAAATAAAATCAGCAAATTGCTCCGTGGTATCTTCCTCCTCCCTGGGTTTTATTTTGCTTTCCTGGAGCCCTCCCTGGATGGGGAAAGGGTCAGCCTGTCATCTGTCAGACGTGGGCATCCCCAAACCACCAGGAGAGGTGGGGCTCTCCTAAGTGCTCCTGGGCAGACTGACAAGTCCCCGAGCTGGTCTGCAGAATGTGGTTGTAATTAGATAATTAATAACTGGGAGAGGGAAAGGAAAGGAAATCAGCTAAATGGAAGCTTTCCTCAGTGGGAGGAAATAATTATATCTGCTTTTTGATATCTGAGCTGAGGTGGCTTTGCTGAAGGCAGGAACAGCACCTTGCCTGCAAAGCCATCCCTGCCCTGAGCAGGAGAGGGGATCCCAGGGCACTGCTGGGTCATGGAGTTTGTCCCACAGAATTTACCCTGCTCCTGGAAGGGTTCCACGCCAGGTTGGAGCAATCTGGGATAGTGCAAGTTGTCTCTGCCCATGGCAGGGGGGGAGGAATGAGATGAGCTTTAATGTCCTTCCCAACCCGAACCATTCTGGGATTCTGCTGTTTTGATGGACACATTGCTCCTGCCTAGGGATTTACCATTTTAAACCCCAGTGCAAACCAGGCTGTGACATTACCACACTCTGAATTTAGGCTCTCTTTCCAAAAGCCTAAGGAATTGTGCTTCCACTTGCACACTGGATCTTGCCCAGTGCCTGGATTAACTCCACGCTGCTGGAACCAGGGGCAGGATTCAACACCTGCTGATGAACCACAGCCTGGATTTGTAGGGAAAAAGCCCTTCCCACACAACCTAGCTCAGAAAGATGTCCTGCATTTTTTGGCGTATTTATTTTTCTTCTCTTCTCTTCTTTTTTTTTTTTTTTTTCCTTTTCTCCAGACTGTCCAGTGTCTGCGACTGAAGTGGAATTGGGATATATCCAAGTTTGTAGCTTCTGAAACCTTAAAAACCTCAAGAAAACTGGTCCAAAAGACCCCTCTTGACCTCCCTCGCTCTGAACTCTTGCAGAGCATTTCAGACTGAGTAGCAAAACAGCACCGAAGAGAAGGGGCTGAGCCTTTGCAGCATCTCTCCCCAGAACGACTGACCAAAGAGAGAAGGAGAAGCAACATTCCTGGTTGTTCATTGTTGTTGGGGTTCTGTGTCTGTCTGTCTGTCCGTGCGTTTGGTGTTTTATCGCTAATTTTTTATTTTATTTTTTTTTCTGGAAACAATCTTAATTCAGGAACGCATTTATGAGGCATCTTTGGGTTCGAGTTTTACTTCCCCTTAACTCTATTCTTCTTTTTTTATTTTATTTTTTTTTTTAATTCCAAACCTGATTTCTTGTACAGTCATGGCAAAACTGGACCAAGGCTCTCAGCAAAAAGAGGAAAAGAAGGAAAAAAGCCCACCACTATGCCCCCAGCTCCCTGCATGAATTGTTTCAAGTACAGCCTGGATTACAGACTGCCCTCCACACTCTGCCACCTCTCCCTTATTGCTCCATGATTTGCTACCGCTCATCCCCTTCCCCCTTTTGTGATTATTTTTTTATTTTTAATTTTTTTTTTTTTGGTTTTCATTTTCTGTTCCAGTGTATATGTTGCTTATTTGTTTTATTTATTGAGATATTTTTAACGAGCTAAGAGACTGCAATGTCGCTGTGTATACTGCTTCTCTTGCCAGTAAAAATAAAGATGTCATGCAGCTACTGAGGGTTTGGGATTTATGTTCCTGACTCCACAGCCCCCAGCGGAGGCTGAGACTCTTCTTTGTGCCCCACAATGTTTTGACACTCAGAAATTTGGCTAAAAAACCCTTTCTCAGGGAGTGGGGCGATGGGGTGCAGAGGGTGTGAGCATCACTTGAAGATTTGGCTTGGAGTGGACCTTAAAACCCAACATCTTCCACTAGATCAGGATCTGGAAACAGGGGGCAAAATTATCCCAAATGACCTTTTCTCCTCATCAACTATGAGAAGAAAAAAAAATTAAAAAGAAAAAACAAAACTAAACAAAAAAAAATCAACAAAAACTCCCTGCTGTGGTGTCTAGGGCCACTAAAAAATAAATCATGTCATTCCATCCCAACCAGCTTCGGGGGAAAAACATTTTAAGATGCCAAATCATGGCCCTGTCTGTGTGTGCATCAGATGCATTCATTCCCTGATAGCTTCCCGAGCCCCAAAGTCAAGTGTTTATTTTAAAACAAGCCCCGCTGCGTGGAGGGAAAATCCATCACATCCATTAGAAGCTCTTACTGAGGAGCAAATGACATCTCAGTCTGGGCTCTGGGTACCAGCAGAGCCAAAAGCACCATTTAAGAAGGTGAATTTAACAGCTGTCAGAGCATGCAGCACGCGGAATGACTTCCCCCAGCCCCGAGGAATGCGTGGTTTCACATCAGTTACTGCAATTTGGGGAATCTCTAACCCTGCCCCAGGTTGTCATTTCACCACGAGAAGTGATGTTTTTTTAAGTGCAGGTACCAAAATCCAAATCCAGCTTTCCTGAGGGTTTGTCAGGCAGCCTGTGGTGCTGCTCTGCTGTGCCATGAGGTGCTCAGGAGCTGGGTTTTCCCAAGGAGCTGTGCCACGTGCCTTCCTCGCTGCTGCAGAGGGTCAGGGCTGCTTCCCCCAGGCTCCAGTGCCACGGATTTAAGGTTCTATCACAAGAGATCAAAGCCTTCGACCCCTCCCTGCAACTCTAAACAAAGACCAATGCTCACAAAGCACCTTTGGAACCTCTTCCATGAATTCTGGGGGTCACCCGAGGCTCCTGTGGGTGTATGGCCTTGGAGAGGTGGATTTGGAGCCTGGAATTAGGGTACAGCATTTGTTTTTAGGCAGAAAAGGGAGTGTCTGTTCAAATGGTCAGGAGAGAGCCCTGCTATGGGGTTCAGATGGGTGCATGAAGTTCCTGAGGAAAACCAAGGCCATAAAATCCTCCAAAAAGCCTGGGAGCTGTGAATTCTCTGGGTAACAGATTTTTAACAGCAAACACACCTGACTCCATGGAGAGGGAGGCAGACAATTCCATCAGCTGCTGGGAAGGCTTTTTGTGTGTTTGGGTTTCTCTGGGCACTCAGGAAACCCTGACCCCAAACTGCAGCTGTGTCCTCATGGATGCATCTAAATTTCCTTTTCCATACACAAGAGTCTTTTCCAAAGGCATTTATCACCCCTAATTCCCAAGGGGATTGAAATTGTCCTTCCCAATCCCACCTGTGATGCCACCACAACACCCTGTGGGAGATTAAGGCATGTCACCAAGGGCAGGGGCAGGGTGGCTTGTGCAGAAGAGGATGAAAGCAAGAAATCCCTAAAAGCAGCAGGATCCCAACAATGGGATTTCTCCTCTGTGGCAGCACACACGCCCATGTGGAGCCTGGCTAAATATTGATCCTGGATTTCTTGGTCTCTGTGCACATGAAAGGCTACAAAAAAAAACCCCACAAACCAGCACAAACTATTCCAGCAAACCACAAAGCAAAATATTCGCTGGAAAGAAGCCAAGCACTGAGGTGAGGATGTAAAACTCACTGATCTGGGTTTTTTTTAAAAAATAATTTTTTACTCAATCCCAGCTCAGCTTAGCACCTCTGACCCCTCCATTTCTAAAAGGGGGAGGAAGAAAGGTTTTTGCATTTTCAGCCAAAGTCCACATGAAAAAATAATAACTATTAAAAAAACCCAAACAAATCCAACCCCCCAAATCCCACCCCTTGGGATGTCTGCTCTCCCCAAGGCCACCCCGTTTCCACACAAAACCGAGGAGTGCTGACAGCAGGGAGGGATGGGGAAAGGGGGGAGCCCTGAGGATTTTTCCCAGGGATCCTTGGAAACTTGGAAGTGCTGGGACCACCCAGGCACCGTTTCTGGGATGGCAAATGCATCCTCCCCCCCGTGCAGGGTGACAGCAAAGAGAGGTCGGTGTCACCTCAGCACGGAGATCTTGGCTGGGGGAGCTGCATCCCACACAAACCTGGGAGAGCAGGGAGGACCCACGTGCAGCTGCACGCTCAGGACAGGGATAAATCCTCTGCTTCCTGCTCTTGGAAAGTGCAGTGACAAAGGGACCTGGATCAGGCTCGGGCAGAAAGATGAAAGCTGAGATCAGGGCGATGTGAAAGTGACTCCCCAGCCCTGGGGGGATTTAAAACCCGCTTGGATGTGGTGCTTGGGGACAGGAATTATTGGGGAAATGGAGGGACTCTGCTCTTAGAGGGCTTGTCCAGCCTACAGGATTCTGTGATGCTTCAGGCAGACACAAGCTGCTCCAGCAGCAGATGGATGGCTGGGAAATGATGGGACGCAAAAGGAGAGGTCAGTCCCAGCAGGACACATCCCCATCTTTGTCACTCAGACACGTCCTCTTTGCTTTACATTAAAAATCACACATTTATGTCTCATCTTTAAACCTTCCTCCCACTTGCAGCACCAAAGCTGGGCAAAAGCTGCTCACCTAAACCACAAAAAGAAGCAAACACCTCAGACTGAGGAACTGTGGCTGGAATCCCTGCAAGTGTCCCAGGCCAGGTTGGACTTTAAGCTTTGGAGGAACCTGGGATGGTGGAAGATGTGAGATGGGGTGATCTTCAACCACCCTGCCAGCCCTTCCATTCCATGGTTCCATTTTTGCCAGCGTCCTGCCCGTGTTTTAAGGGAATAATTCCAGGTTTTTCAGCTGCACCTTGATGCTCTTTGTGGTCTCGGTGCCATTCCGCTCTCGGTGCCTTTGTAGTCCCAGGATTTGTCTGGAGCTTGGTAAAGTGCACTCAGCCCGTTTATGATTTCCTGTCCTGTTTCGGAGCCCTGCACTGAAAGACTTTAGTTGCCTCCTAAATCTTTTTCCAGAACTCTCCTGTCATTTTAAATATGGGCCAGCATTTTGTTAGCTTCAAGACTTTGAAATAATATCAAAGTAAACCTCAAAGGAAAATAAGGCAGTAAAGGGGAAGGTTGGGGCTTAATTCATATTTAAATAAAGACCCTTCACTTCAGCTTGGGTTACTGTGTAAAATGACTGGGAGCAAATGGAGCTTTTAAAGGCCTTTTTACCCCTCAGGGGTCTGTTTTAAAATGATCAGGGAGCCTACCAGGCCCAGGAATGAAATTGCCTTCCCAGGAAAAACTCCCTACCACTGGGAAGAAAAATCCTTGAAGCTCTCCAGAAGCAAGGTGGACATTTTTCCTCCCTCCCCTCCCGAGCTGTGACCCAGAGCAATGTTTGGGAATGCTGGGAAGGCAGACAGGATCCCTGTCAAAGCCTTTGGAGAAGGGGACTGAGGAGCTCAGGATTGATTTGCGCATCAAAACACGGATTTTTCTCTCATTTTCTTTCATTTTCTGGGGTTAACCACACATATTAACAGGAGACACTGCCCTTTCTTTCCCCTTCCCAAAATGCTGGTTTTCAGGGGAGAGAGGAGGAGCTGAGGGCTGATTTCCAGCAAGCCCCAGCACCTGACAGGGATTTGCCCAAGTGTCAGAATTCCAAGTGTCAGAATGCCCGGCCCAGGTACCTCCACAAGAGCAGCCAAGCTCTGCTGGGCTTTATCCGGGGATCTCCTCTGAAATTCCCCTCTAAGCTCCACATCCTGCTGCAGCACAGAGCTGATGGATTTCTCCTTCCACATCCCCTCTGCCTTTATTCCTTATTTCCTACTGCAGCCCCAGGAGCAGTGGGCGGCAGGGATGGCTTCTGCTAACGCCAGCAAACTCCAGATCTGCCAAAAACCCCGAACAAAGGCTGTGAGAAAAATATTTCTGCAGGAAGCACTGGCTGAAACATGATTCATTTCTCCGAGATAAGTCATATTTCCCCCGGCCAACACTTACAAAAGGCTTCTCCTCCCTCATCCCTGCTCTGGCCTGGGTGATGGATACGGCTCCAGCATGTGCTTCCAGTTGAGGGCTGTGGAATTGCTCCATCCAAAAGCAGGTTGAGGCTGGGGATGTGCCACCGGTGCCTTC